TAAAGAGGTCTATTGTCGAGGCCAATTTTCGCGTGCTACAAAAAAAGCTACCTTGACTTGGTGAGAGGATTATTTTTCCTTTGGGGACTGGCACATTGACTTTTCTAAAAGTCAGAACTAGCCGCCTAGACCGGTCATTTTGAAAATGAAAAATTAGTGTTTTCTAGAAATTTTAAGTAAAACGCATCACTGGCACCGTCCGCACTATTTAAGAATAAACTGATCTGGCTAGATTGGTTCATAGTGGAATTCTCCTTATTATGACTGCCTTAGTCTGGGCAGCCAGTTCTGATAAATGGTAAGCGCCCAATTGATTGCCCTCGACAATCGCAGCCCAGATAGTCATTATGACTTGCTGAAGCGTTCCTAATCAGTTTTCATTCCTGTCGGTACCCATGTTTTGCCCCTTAATTCTTTTCCCTCGTCACTGAAACCCGTTCGCCCAATCAGCGACAGACTATCTGACATCAATGAATGCCCAATATCTGCCCAATTTTGATGACGTGACGTGTACCAAGAGTGAACTAGCCTGCGAGCAAGCTCTTTATTTAGGGGAGGCATGAGAAGTCACGTGAGAGAGAGCTTCCTCGTAGGCTAAGAGTGCAGTCTTAATGTGCGGAGCGGCATTGCGCCATTCGATGCCATTTGTGAACTTACAACGGTTCGAAAAATGTTTGTATGCTAGATCTAGAGTTGACTGCAACTGCTTTCCTATGTGGCTAGGTGTCGGTTTATGTGAGTACAGGAGGGGGCGGGGGGGAGGCGCAACTCACCACTTTTTTCAACATCCGATCGGATCGTTCAGGGAAAAAGGAAAAGTTCGATGTTTAAGTAAAAAAAATGATGAGAGAGAAGCTCTCTAAAGGAAGCCAGGGAACCTTTTTTTATGGGCAGAGAAATGCTTGTGCATGCTTTGGCCATAGGAGACCCCGAAGCAAGAGAGGCTTGTGACTACCTGTCACGCCTCACTTGAAAGCAACAACGACGGCGACGGCATCGAGAAAGGTAAAAATGCAAAAGGTTTGGATTAGCAAAACAACAACTTTGCACGTTCATCACGCTTTTTTGTACATTTCTTTGCCGTCGCTGCACGACTACAACGTGAAAGTGCCTAATTTCACGTTTTGTCGAGGACGTGAACGAAATCAACGACTTTATTTTTATTCTCTTGAACTTTGATACTGTCTTCCAGAATCCAACTCCAGAAATTTGCCTACATTTGACGAATTGAACGAGTTGGAATAAGCACGATAAAGTTTGAAGTGGCGCGAATTCACTTTTTAGGTGACGTTTTCGTAGACGTCGCAGTCGTTGTTGCTGAAGCTCCCTAAAATTTGATAAAACTCAGTAATATAATCAAAATTGGGAATTTCCTTTAAATATTATTTATTCATTTTCCGTTGTTTTAATGAATGTAGATAGGGTAATTCGTCACCATTGTCTTACAAAAAGCACGATTATTGCTTATATACTGTACAATGAAAGCAAACTGTTAAACATTATTTATACCTTCAGCGTTGCTTCAAACAAATGAATACGTTATTTCAACTGCACAATTCTACAGCTGCTTGTATAATCAGAATGGCTGTTTGCCGGCCTCGTAAATCGAAGCTGACCCCTTATCGCATTAGATTGCGACTAATTTCAGACACCCAAAATTATTTCTTTTGGCCGTGAACGACAGGATATGTTGAGGAGTCTATAAAATAAATGTTCATACTTTAAAAGTGCTACATTTAACACCTAAATAGTTATGTTTTCTACTTTTACAATATCGCGTTAGCAAATTGGATGCCAATTGATAAATTTTCTAAGAGCGTTTTTTTCTTTAAATTAAGTAACAAAAGTTCACAAATGTAAATAAGATATTAAACGCCTATTCCAGCCTAGGCAAATTAAAACTACAAAATAACTAGGTATATATATCATATATAAAAGATTATCTAATAAGTAAATTTTACGATCAACGTGGCTTCCGTGACAAAATGCCCGCCACTGCATAAGGTCCCCAACAAGTTTCTCGGGATGCTGGCTTTTCCTCATTTGAAGGCCCAGATTCGGGACTTGAGAGCAAAATGAGGGCGAGATTCGGGATTGAAAGTATCCACGGGACGGGATGGGCGGTACGAACGGGAAAGTTTAGGTCACGCGGGGTGATTGGACTGAAAAACCCTATTGGGGACCCCTGCAAAATAACGATACTGACATGCCCACGCATTCAACTTTCGGTGAGGGTAGGAAGTTTTAGACTACGAGTAGTCCCCCATTTTTCCTCAGGGATAGTAGAGCGAGCGAAACGCGAGCGCGCGTGAAAATCACCCCACGCAAGAAAATTAAAGGCGACATTTTTCTCTTCCCGCCGCGTGTCGCCTTTTCTCGCGTGGGGTGATTTTCACGCGCGCTCGCGTTTCGCTCGCTCTACTATCCCTGAGGAAAAATGGGGGCTACTCGTAGTCTAAGGAAGTTTAGATTCATGTGATAACAATGACTCTTGTCTCCAGAATATAAATAATTTGTCCAATAAATCACCTCTACAGAGACTAAAATGAAAAAAAAAAACGTTTTTCTTGAAGCTTTTACGTTAATCACGAGAATTTCTTCAGCAAGAACATACAATGTTTAGCGGCTATTTTGCCCATTACACTATGTAAGCCGCTATATCCCATGTCTCTTTGGGACAGATTACGTATACCTGCTCGAGGAAAATATTGCCCGCAGGATTTTCCACCGGCTACTATGAACATAATCCCCGACCGGCTATACTGTTATAGGAAACACAAGGAAACTAGAGCAAAACGATATTCCTAGGTATTCAATTCCCTGCCTACTAATTACGTGAAATGTTTGTGAAAGCCCAGCAAAAGGCTTATTTAATAATTTGTGTTTGTATTATGTACTTTTCGCACGACCAGTTCTTTGTCGGGATGGATCAACGAGACCAAAAGCCATCTTTATTTTCATACGGAAAGCCAAATTTGGGGAAGGGATAAATTGGAACTGAACTGATTTAAGCACTGTTTCTTTTAGATTTATCCTTTGGTATANAAAAAAAAAAACGTTTTTCTTGAAGCTTTTACGTTAATCACGAGAATTTCTTCAGCACGAACATACAATGTTTAGCGGCTATTTTGCCCATTACACTATGTAAGCCGCTATATCCCATGTCTCTTTGGGACAGATTACGTATACCTGCTCGAGGAAAATATTGCCCGCAGGATTTTCCACCGGCTACTATGAACATAATCCCCGACCGGCTATACTGTTATAGGAAACACAAGGAAACTAGAGCAAAACGATATTCCTAGGTATTCAATTCCCTGCCTACTAATTACGTGAAATGTTTGTGAAAGCCCAGCAAAAGGCTTATTTAATAATTTGTGTTTGTATTATGTACTTTTCGCACGACCAGTTCTTTGTCGGGATGGATCAACGAGACCAAAAGCCATCTTTATTTTCATACGGAAAGCCAAATTTGGGGAAGGGATAAATTGGAACTGAACTGATTTAAGCACTGTTTCTTTTAGATTTATCCTTTGGTATACTTTTAAAATTCTTCAATAATTACTTCATGGTATCGATGTCGAATATCGTCTGAGAAATAGTAAGAGTATCGGGTTCTAGCAAATGGTATGGACTAAACACAATAATTTGACAAATTGAAATTTTGGATTCTTTTCTAGAACGAGGGTGACCTTCCAACCTAGTTTCCAGGGCTTTCCCCACAAAAACCTGAGGGAAAAGCCCTCAATGCAGAGGTTGCGCGACCTTCCTGTTTTCCTACGCGCTTTTTCGACGAAGTGAACGACGCAGGTGAAGTGCAATGCTGTAGACCGGTAGCAATTAGGAGAGGAATATCCGAACACGCTGTACCACAGGGTTACGGCACATGGGACAATTGGACAATGAAGTGGAACAATTGAAACAGCAACAAACGTGTCCACAATTCAGCAACACCACATCAGCCTGATAGAGAAAAACCACAAGTCAAATACTCAGGAATAAAAGGTCAACGAGTTAATGTTCGTGTTGGTAAAAAGTACAGTGCAGTACTGATTCTTCGGGTTAATGTCGGTGAAGTTCAAATACACCGGGAAAAGGAGAGCTGAACCGACAGATAACTGCTGGTTGGTTTCAAAGATGAGCCTAAACTCAGTTCAAGCTCTCCAGAACCATCTTTACCTGGCGATTTAAGTTACTTTCTTCAACTCAATTTATGTTATGCGGCCTTTTGATAAACTGGCCACTGTAAGTACACGTAGCGAGAGACAATAACATTCTGGGCGATAGGTTTGTATAGCTGAAGTGACTGACTTTCCTATAAACTTTCGTTTAGAATTTAGAGTTACTTACAGAAAATCGTGAACTTCCATGTAAGGTACCTGTGATTGTGATTGCACTCATAGGCAGTGTTATAATGCGTTACGGAGGTTAATAAACATATTGAACATGGTTATACTGATAGTGAATGATGCTACTGTCTTACCCTTCGATCCATGCAAACCACACATTCTGTGGTCATATCTTGGTGCTCTATTACAGGTGCTGTTGGTGTTGATTGTGTTGGAATCGGGGCAGGAGGGGCTGGAGAGGGCACGGGCGCCTGTAAATACCCAAAATAAACCACTTAAATTACAATAACGGTTCAGAAAAACAATAAACAACGAGAAAAGAGAAACAACACAAAACATTACAAGAATGAAACAATGTTCAATTCACAAACCAAAACAAGAATTCACTATTTGTTACCACTAGGATGAGAACAACAAAACGTTCCCGCTAAGAATGCTAACTGTGTAACTAAAATCCAATTTCACATTCTTGTATAAAACCTTCTCGCCGCGCAGAAGGTTTATAATTTCCTCTGATCCGAGTTACATTACGTACCTCTGCAGGTGTTTCAATTTCTCGCTCTTTCTCTTTGGCTTTGACGTCAAAACGTAGACGCTCCTGGACCACACTTAGTATTGCCTTACGAACTCCCAGCTCGTGAATACCCAGCTAAAAATGAAAAAAACCAAAGTTTGTTACGCTTTTTCAACCGTGTGTAACCTTTCAAAACTGAACCGAAGAAAAACAACAAGACAAAAAAGGGAACATTCGTCCTCTTCAAAAACGGAGAGGTCATCGTTCGGTTTCGTTCCGACACATAGGCTGTTCAAAGTCCCTTATTTTTCCCTATAATCGTCAATATCGCGCGCTTTGTGTTACGGGAGGCCATTTTGGTTTTAAATGTACCGAGCGGTGAGCGGAGAAAGGCGAGAAAAATAGAGAAAATTAACAGATTTCATACTCATGCACAGGTTATACTCGGCACATATAAAACCAAGATAGACGCCCTACGGGTAGGTTCTGCATCCCGACGATCTTACGGAAAAGAAGGGGACTACGAACAGTCTAACCACTATACGTCACGAGAAACAAAAGACAATTTTCATAAACAAATCATTCAAAAGAAACTTACTATTGGCGTTTTACTACACTATGGCGGGAAAGCGCTTTTTAAGGACTAACTATGGTCCATTTTTTTATCAAAACGTTCGTATCAGCCCCGTATTAGTATGTTGACTTTTGACGCCGTGTGTTTTGGTCAGACTGGAAATGAAATTGTCTATACTGACTCATGCCGCCCTTTACTTATACCTCTTTAAGTTCACTGTCCGTCATGGTTTTAAGCATTTCCCACGTGACACGATGGCGCGCGAAGTGAGCTGCGTAGTCCTGTGCTTCTGCTTCGGCAAGTATGTCGTAAATATTACTGTCACATTGCTGTAAGATTAAGTTTAAGAACAACACTTTATTAGAAATATTGAAAGTATTAATAGGATTTTTCACACATCAGCGGTGGGTTCCGGTCACGTGATGTTGGTCCTCCTGTCATTCGCTGCTGTATACTCCACGTGACGTCTTTGTCCGTTCAAAAATTTGTCCTGGCCCGTGCAAACGGGGTCTAAAATTATCCTCATTTTATCCCTGGTAGGACAAAAAACCACATCGATAAGTTTTGGCCTTTCCAAAATATTTTAATTGTTACTTGGCTTAACCTCGTATTTAACCTAACCTTTGAATTCAGTCATCTTAAATCACTAATCAAGGAGTTGAGCGATAAGAGAGATTGTTTTCACAGGTTCCAGGTCCCTAGTTAAACTGTTCTGCAAAGCCCTCTTCGTCATTTGTCCACGATCAAGCTAGCTTTGTAAGTTTAATGTACTGTTCAGAAATGATATGAGCTGTTATAATAATGAATAGGTACCTTCTCAAGTAAAGTTTGCGGTTTACTCTCCAGTAACCTCTGATATTGAATCAGCCAATAGTCTTCGATATCCGCTTCCCTTTTGTGTTCCATCTCAACCTACCAGAGAAACAATGTAAGATGAATAAGCGTTGAATTCGGGTTTTAGTACGAAGAGAAGTCGAAGAAGCCCCTAAATATTTGAACCAAGAATCAAATATCAAGAAAGTTCTAACTATTGCGTCTGTGGATAAAACTCTCTCAAGTGAAAGCTGCTGACCAGTACTTTGTGCCTAACTTGGTAAGGTAGTCTGCTAACTTCCTCCGAGCACTTACCTTGTTATTATCATTATTTTTTTTGTGCACCTCATTCAACATACAGCATTAGATGGTTCTATTTCAGTGTCAATGACTTCTAAAAGGATACCGTTTTAATGAAAGCCACGGAATAGGAGTTCTTTGAAACTCTAAGTACTGACAAAGATGGCTTTTATTCTAGTCTTGTTGACTTAACATAGAATGTTTGCAACTTTTGGTTCTGCGGATAAATACAGCACTTACAAGCCTCTTCATGAGTTCATCTTCCCGTTTTTGTTGCTCGCCTACCAGCTGAACTAGGAGCCCAGTGAGAGCTTCTCTCTTGGACTCCAGCACCGTCTAAAACAAACAGTGAGTGTTACATAGAAATCATGGTGGATGGTATTCTTGTAGCAGCAAAAGCGAGAAAGAAACAGAACGTACTACACATGTAGACTTCCATCCATTCGATCGTATTGCTTTGTCGGAAACAGTGAGGATAATATTCTGCCCGTTGTACACGACGCAGAAGCCTTGGAATTATAAATACCACCACAAACTCCAAGGAGTTTGCAGTTATTTTTCCTTCACGCACCCACAGAACCCAATCACTTCCTAAACCCCTCGTGCGCTTTCCTTTTCTGCCATCCACATTTTTCATCGAACAGCATATAGCATATCAACAACCCTTGTCATCAACGTAGAAAACGATATAAATACAGGAAGTAAACAGTCGAAATTAAAAATAAACCAACTAAAACGGACGAATGGCTTTAAAACCGTAACACTGCAATCTCATCATTTTATCATTGATAGTGGTGTTCACTCTCTGCTTATGTCCGACCTCAGTGTAAACTCAATCAAAGTAAGAACAACGCGTCTGTTGAAGGAATAAGTCAAAATCCTCTTGGTTGTATCCATTCAAAGACGATCTTTCTGGTTTCAGAGTTTAATAGAAGAATGAAAACCTAAATTACATACCCTCTCAACATCCTGTCGTTCTTCTCTCTTGTCTAGTTCTGTTAAAGTCAACCGCGAAAGTTCATCCTGTAGCATGGAGATCTGCAGAGAAATCATAAAACGTATCATTTTATACCCTAGATAATAGGTAAGTATCGATGAAGCTTTGAAATCCAAGTCACAATTTGAAATTATTCAATACCCAACTTGAGCGAGTAAAACTGGGCAGCGGACGAATGATTCAGTCTTGTAAGCTGGCAACGCAACGCACGCACGAGTAAAAAAATATTAATCTTTTTTCAGGCTATCTTTTTCTGGCATCCAGTGATGCATTGCTTATCTTTTGTCTTTTATTCATTTCAGTGAACATTTTCACACTGAAAAATGACTAAATGGGCACGGTTTTCTGAAGAAAAGAACAAACTATTCAACTGGAGGACAATGCAAGAAAAGACGAGCAATACAGGAAACCATGGACCCAAGGCTCGCTGACAAAGATAGAGTTTTTGATGCAGGGAAACGTGTGTTACTCTGAATTACCTGGCTTGTTATTCTGCGATGCTTTGCATCTGTCTGGAGCTGAAGGGCTTGGATTGCTTCCATTTGTGCGCGTTCCTTTCAAACGAATGAACATAACATTCACTGGACTGTTAGATACAAAGTAAAGGAAAAAGTAACTTAGATTTCAAACTCAACGCTAATATCTCTTAGTTTCATAAACAAAGTCCACAGTCTCGGAAAAAGGCACAACCTCTACTAAAAGGCACTCTCGGGAGAGGTTCGGATACAACGGAAATTAATCGCACTTCCTCAGGAACGTGTCTACAGTTCTGATAGCATAATAATATAACGGACTTAATTTACCCTCAGCGGTGATAATAGCTCAAAAGTAGTTAGCCTTCGTCGCAGACGTAATTTAACCTCGTATGTGGCGCAGTCTAAAAGGTAGTGGGGTTAAACAAAAATTTCCACGAAACAAAATGGAGTTGAGAATCCCATTTGACCTGAGGCAAAACAGTTGGCTCTTTACAAGCGTGGCCGATGAGTTGAAAAGCGCGGGACGGCTGAGAAATAAATCCAGCGAGCGGCATGAAGGGTGGGGGGAGTTGAACTTGGGATTTCCGGATCGTACCTCCAGCTCATTAGCGACTCGGAAATGCTGTCTACAAAGCGGCCGCGCGCAAAGGCCACCGCTGATGAGAGAAAACAAAAGAACACACGAGTAGACGTTCAACTGTTGGCACTAATCTCTGACCTGTTTGGAAATCTCAGAAATCAACACATCCCTGTCGTCATATTGTTCATTCAAGATACCAAGCAGACGAGAATCAGCTTCTAAAGATCTGAAATGCAATACAAGTGATGTATCATGACTGTTTTACACACACACGGGAATAGCAACGAAATTACGAGTATGGACTACAGTTAGAAAGTAAAATAAGCCACAAACAACACCCACCAGAAAAATAAAATTCTTAGCATATAAATTCCGATTTCAGTTTAACTAAATTAATTTATCAAACATGTTATGGCCCATTCACACCACAGATTTGTGTTTACAATTGTTTCCTTCACAAAATGTATACATGTTAAAGAAGGTAATAATTCCGAATTTTCTAACGATAAACAATTCCGGATTCTAATAATTAAAAGCACCCCAAGCGCGGTAGACTAGCTATTTTTTTTTTAAGGTGTGGACGTGTAACTTGACCCCTTCACAACAAAATTCAGTTAATGTGTTCAGTTGGAGGACTAAGTTACACAAAATGAAAACCAGTAAGCTGTAACAGAAAGCTGAAAGAATAAGAATGACTTTTGCCCTGAAAAAGCTTTAACTGGTGCTTTACTTTTTGAAGTAAATTTTTAGTCTGAACTCACTCGTTCATAGCTTGATTGGCAGCTATGTCTCTTGTCCGTTCATATTCTCTTATAAGTCGGCCTTGATTTTCTTGGCTTTCCAAAAGACGAGCCATGGAAGCTAACGAAAAAACACAACAAAGAAGACAACAAAAGAAAAAAACAAGAATGAAATGTTAACTCTAGTCATAAACTAGAATTGTCAAACCTTTTAGCTTAAGCGCACAAGGTTTGCTTTTATCAGGAGAGTTGACAAGGACATTTCTAGCGCTTTGAATCGCTCTGCGAAGGGGCGCTCGACATGTCACTTTTTATCCGCGTAATGATGGCACTTCGCTCAGCAAACAAAACTTTCTATTTCGAGTCTAACTCTCCCGATAACCGATGCAGCACCCGGTAGTGTTTTGAACTTTTTTTACTTCGACTAGACCTCATACGGACAATTGTACAAGAAAAACGGTGATATTACATTCAAATGGGAATATAATAACCAACCTAAAACTTCCTCCTTTCGGAGTTTTTCAGCTTCTTCCTGGGTCACCTTAATCAGCTGTTCAGTTCTCATTCTAAGCGTTAAACAAAGGATTAATGGTTATTTTCAGTGCAAACTAAAACATGTACAATGGTTCTAGAGAAGGGAATTTCTGAGTTGCAAAGTAGCAAAGTTTTACTCTTTTTTCATCCAATGTACTCCCGAGATGCGAGGTCCTATATTGAAACCACGCTTACGATCTGCTCACATATAAGTCACTCCTAGGTCAGTGGGTAGAGCGTCCTATGATCAATTCCCTTTGGGGAGACTCGGATTTCTCCGTGTACCTTAAACTAGTGTATATATCAGTTGCAATGACATTTGAAGGTTAAACGACATCAGAGAAAAATACGTGAAGCATATCCATGCTGTAAAGTGCGTAGGCAACCGAGCTAAACAAAAATGTTTTCTGATCATTTCCTTCGTAAACAGTTCTGTTTGAGCAATAACAACAAGCAAGAAATGCAAATTCGGCAAAAACAGAGGCAAAAGAGATAAAAGAGAAGGGGGAAATTGCAGGCTAGGACTCGCATGTTCGCATGTCAAGGGATTACTCCCCCACCCTCCCCTCGGGATCTTCAACCAGACCAGGCCAAGCGAACGTACATTTTGTATTTATTGTAATAGGATTTTTATTGCACCTTTCTTGTTCCAGTTCATCAAGAATCATTTCTGCCTTCTGAGCTCTAAAAAGGTCAAGAAAATCACCACATTACTAACCAGACTCACAAGAAGCAAAATGTATGCTATTAAATACATTTTGTACAAGCCATACTGTGGCCCCTACAAATGTAGCCTGCGTGGCCACCGGAATAGTTATTTAGCGTGGGCAAAGTTTTGGCAGAGGAAACACGCAAAAACCATTACACCAGCTATGCAGGCCACTAAAAATTAGCAAAGAGCTTTCTCAGTAGCTCAGTTGTTTAGAGCTACTTTGCCTTTATAAGGTTTAAAACGTGTTATTGTATAACATACATGAATCTTCTCAGCTTTACCTTTCGTTAACTTGTAAAATCATTGCTACTGTGTCATTAGTTAGCTGTTCACCTACAAGATATAAGAAAATGGCATAGTAATTTCAAAGTTGAAAAGAATTCACCCGGAAGAGATGAAAACATGAAGGAAAAATCGCAAAAATACAACGTTTCAAACTTAGACGTAAATACCACTTTTTAGGGCTAAAACACGCTACTTGCCATAAAAAACTAAAACTTGTCATCACATCGATTGAATTCCAAAATAATTGTCCAGCTTCGTTATTTAAGACGATATTTAAGATTATATATATTGATTTAAGTTTGCGCTCCCTGCTGAAATTTGTTTAATATCTTCTTCATAACTCTGCAGGAGGATTTTGTGCACGGGTAAAGGTTCTAACTACTGACTGCAGCACAGAATTGACCTAAAACAGTAAACGTTTCGTAACATAGCCACCAATTTCCTGAATTTCTCGCGACTTTCTTGCTGATGTTATTCGACACACACAGCAACAAGTGAATCTAACAGTTAACTATTAATGGAACAACAGACTGAATTGTGCAGTCCTTTCAAAAGTAAATGATTAATAAATGGCTTATATTACTGTTAGATGAAGCAGAAGGGGCTCAATTACAGCAAAAAAACTCCACGATAAAGACACTTCTCTGATTCAACAAGAAGTTTCAACAAGAAGCTTTTGAAGTCATCTTCTAGGACCCCCGTTCTTTTGATTACTTTGTACAAAAATATCATGCAAGGAAAATGCCAGAATGCCGCCAAAAGATGATAATGAGTCCACCCTTGATTTCAACTAATCAAAGGAACACACTGATGATATTCGTCCGCTAAAGTAGACACAAAAATACGATGTAAAATACCTGCTGCCATAGCTGACACCATCTTTTGTCGTTCATGTTCTTGTTGTTGTTGTTGCCACAGAGTGCGGTCATCCAGTTCCGCTTCAGCCTACAAGGCAGGCACATAAAATGTACATACAATGTACGGCTAGTTTTCTCTGTACTTTTCAGAGAAATCTCGTCCTTAGCGGATATCACAAAACAGGAAAAATTACATAAATAGTATATTAAACAATAAGCAAATAATTGTTGAGAAATATCATTAATAAAATTAATTTATCACTATACCGTTCGTATTTTGTCCATTAGATCATTGTGTTGTTTGGATGCCGCAGCAGCTAGCGCTTGTTGTTCTTTCTCCGCTTCTTGCATCTGCCTCTGCAGTTCAATCATCTGTTGTCTTCTCTTTTCCTTGGAGTAAGAATTAGGCATTCGTTTTATACAAGAGTTGGATGATTTGTTTCAGGCCAAGGATGGGACTCCAGTTTATGGGCAAGATAGACATACTATATGTGCCACCCAACTGGGTATGGTTTTTGAGGGTATCATTTTTACCCTTGTTAGCGTTGTAACCCAGGTGTTATCTTTAGAAAGCGTACCGTTATTATATCAGCTAAAATTCAACTGCCTAAATGCGCAGCTACACAAGAAACAAATCATCTGTTAAAACTGAACTTTACCTGATAGAGCATTAGGAAAGCGATTTAGGGAAGATTTGTGTCTTTCTGTTCATTTTTAGTTTTTGTTTTTCCATTAAATTAAGACTCATTTTNTTTTTTTTATTTTAATGTTAATTGTGTTAGTTTTTTTTTTTTTTTTTTTTTTTTTTTTTTTTTTATTTTTTTTTTTTTTAAAAAACTCCCGGTCCATTCGGGGGGGGGGGGGGGAGGGGGGTGCGCACCCCCTGCACCCTCCCCCTAGATCCGCCCCTGTTAAACAGGTTCAGGGTTTAACACAGCAGTACAGTTCTCAATGGTAACAACTGGTATGAGTTGATCTTGAACAAACAAGAACTTTTAGCTATTATTGGAAAGAGGCTATCAGTTCTAAAAGGTCTTCAAGACTCTTGAAAAAAGCAAAACTGAAGAGCCACATTAGAAGAAATCTGACCCAAAGGTAAATGAAACAGTTCCTTAGACAATGGCAACAATATTAAAGATAATTCTGTGGAGAATTAGATGCCATGCTTCTCGTTAAATACCGGTTCTATGGGAACCAACCCATTGCAACAAAATAGGTGAAGATTGCATAACAGAAATGTCCATTTTGTGACATGAGTTTGTGGTTAATAAAAGTAATGTGGTACTGTTAAACACAATATGAAAAACAGAAAATTAAAGCTGAATAAGGAAAAATGAAAGTGAGAGAAACAAAATCAACAATGCAAACCTTTTCTTCTTCATGCTGTGATAAAGTATTCTGAAATGAAAATGTTTTACTTTTGAAATAAAATCAACCATGCGAAGCAGTACTGTGAAGTCTTGAACATGATGGAATAAATCAGGATATATTTGGACCTAAGACAGAGTTCCCTTAGCCAACAGATGTAGATAGCCAGCTGTCATTTATGACTACCCATTACTTTCTGACAAGGTGTGACTTATTTTTTCCAACAAACATTAAATTTAGCACTATACTTACTGTAAAAAAGATGTAATTGAAAAACCCCTTTTCACTTTCTTTCAAGATGTAGCAACGAAATAAGAGGATTTAGCAATAGTCAGAACAAAAATAACCACCCAAAACTCACTAGTTGTCAGGAAGGTTAAGAACAGAATTTACTGCGCTGATTGCAAAATCCGCTAGCCCAAGCTATCGGACACATTACTTTCTTTGCATACTGGTTTACCATTTTAACAAAATAACCAGTCCGACTGGCCAGTTCTGACTTTTGGTAAGCACATGCCCGATTTTACAAAAATGGGATGTTTACAGGACATGGAATGAACAAGTGAGTTGGTTAAGGAAAGGAAGAGACAATACCATCTCACAATACTGTAACCAGTTGCAGAAAGGCTTGAGATTCAGTAACGTTTTAAGTCTAAAGTGATATTATCAAACTTTGCATGAATCCTCTCCCCTCCCCAGTCATCCAAGTTGCAAGGATTCCAAGGCTGTTAATTCTCATTTTATACAATGAAAACTACAAATGGGGAGACTGGAAAAATCTCTCTGGTCGTGGCACATAAGGATACTGGTCAAAAGGCTTATATTACATCCTTATAAAATACAGTGTCCCGGGTGAAAACTTTATTTAAAAAATAACTTACAGCAACAAGTTCATCAACTGGTACAGGGCCCCACATTTTAGTTGGTGCTGATCCATTTCTTACTGGATCTACAGAAAATATGACAATCATTCTGTGAGGGAGACCACCAACTGGATAGTGGTACAAAATCGCTATAAGAGGAACACTTTTTCACGCCAAAAAATTATGGACTTTCCAGGGCCATTGTTTGTGTCAGTTATGAAGACACATGCAGGCCATGGGTATGCGCAGTGCTCCTGTGGCTTAACGTATTCATGCACACAAGAGTAATGGAAGAGAGTCCTGAGAAAAAATAAACAAGCATTTTACATGTTTATTTTGTAGGCATTATATTGTTTTTGCATTTGCACTTTCTGCTTTAAAACTTAGTACATTTCAAAGTGTTAAGATTTAGATAATTTTAAGAAAAAATCACAAACTTAAAAAAAAACACTAAATTAAAAACTTTCAAGGCCTTGAAACTGGGCTCCTGAAATTCAAGGGTTTTCAAATTGCGTGCAAAGCCTTGATTGACTTCTGAACACAAAACAATAAATCCAGAGACAACAATTAATAGACCCTTCTACGCTTTTTTAAAACTTTTGACAAAAAGCAGTAAGAGAATATTCATCGACATTGCTGGTAAGAGGGCCTTAAAATAAGGTAAGTTACCAAGTTTAAAGGTGATACGTCTAAAAAGAGTGCAGTTATTGCTAAAAAAGTCATAAAATTTCACAGCTGTTTGTATGGTTGGGGGAATCAAATTATTATGCCATTATTGTGCCCCCCCTCCCCTCCCCCTCCAAAAAAAATTACAAATTTCTGTAAAATTCCCTGACTTTAGGGAGCTATATCTCTGTTGGTTTTTGAAAAATAACTTTCAAACTTAGTAACTTAACTGATTATAAGATGTTCTTTCCAGATGTGTTGATGGATTTTCGCTACCTGGTCCCAGTCAAAGTTGAAAAAACATGAAAGTGGGGTCTATCAGTCAGAAGAGATTGTGCATTAAGGTGTTTCAATACAGTTTTTCAACGGCGATACCGATATTTTTCAATCGCCTTAAAAGTGATTTTTTCCTTGTCCGATCGCTATAAAATTTTCACCAGTAATTGGTTATGGATTGAAATATGTGAAAATGTAGTTTTAAATAAAATCGATATTACTATGACAACAATAAACAAAAAACTTTGAAATTGATAAAAGCTGAATTTTGTGTGATCTAGACCCGCTACTGAAAATCCAACTCTTGGAACTTAAAGTTTGGTGTTTAGCAAACAATCTCCGTAAGAAGTAAGAAATTCTGTATGTTTGAATTCGACTAAAACGAAAACATATTTCAAACCTTAAACTTTCAATAGCCGTGATAGGTTATTTAATAAAAACGTTATAAATGACTCAAATTATTTTTAAGTAGCATAAGAATGATGCTTAATATCATATTTTGATGCTAGGAAATTTTGGTGCACTTTCGTTCATGCGATCTTGAAATATAACCCGTTTTCTCACCACCTGTATAAGTGTAACTTCATTCAGAATTTGGACTTTTAGCGCTTTCTTGTATATCTCCAAAACGACTCGAACGAATTTTTTTAAAATCTCTTCACATAATCTTCATAATGTATATAAAAATGTCTGAAACTTTCATTAAGATTGATTCACTGCAGCACCTTGAAATTTCAGGACAAACTTATCCTACGAACCGGACAAAAATCTGCGTTACAACATTCACTGTTTTGACGTTATGCTAATTTTTCCAAAATAATGCGCACTATACATACCTCCATGACTAGTACATTTTAGTTTGAATTTATCGCATCTTTTGAATGTAAAACATTGACAATACTCACACTGAAATGTACTAGTCATGGATATATGTATTGTCCGCATTAATTTGGAAAAATTAGCATAACGTCAAAACAGTGAATATTGTAACGCAGATTTTTGACTGGTTCGTAGGATAGGTTTCTCTTGAAATTTCAAGGTGTTGCAGTGAATCAGTCTTAATGAAAGTTTCAGACATTTTTATATACATTATGAAGATTATGTGAAGAGATTTTAAAAAAATTCGTTCGAGTCGTTTTGGAGATATACAAGAAAGTGCTAAAAGTCCAAATTCTGAATGAAGTTGCACTTATACAGGTGGTGAGAAAACGGGTTAGATTTCAAGATCGCATGAACGAAAGTACACCAAAATTTCCTAGCATCAAAATATGATATTAAGCATCATTCTTACGCTACTTAAGAATAATTTGAATCATTTATAAAGTTTTCATTAAATAATCTATCACCGCTATTGAAAATTTAAGGTTTGAAATATATTTTCGTTTTAGTCGAATTCAAACATACAGAATTTTTTACTTCTTACGGAGATTGTTTGCTAAACACCAAACTTTAAGTTCCTAGTGTTGGATTTTCAGTAGCGGGTCTAGATCACACAAAATTCGGCTTTTATCAATTTCAAAGTTTTTTGTTTATTGTTGTCATAGTAATATCGATTTTACTTAAAACTACATTTTCACAAATTTCAATCCATAGCCAATTACTGGTAAAAATTTTATAGCGATCGGACAAGGAAAAAACCACTTTCAAGGCGATTGAAAAATATCGGTATGGCCTCTGAAAAACTGTATCGAAACACCTTAAACACAGAACAACAGTGGTGATGAAATGGAAAACTACATACCTAACACAGGTAACAAGTGTTTGGATGGAGGAACATATTCAATTCCAGCCACTTTTAGAGAGAAAAATACAAGTCAGCAAAGTCAGTGATTAGTCATGTCAGTAACCAAAGAAAAGTAAAAAGTAAATAAAATCATCTGTGGCAAACACCAAAGAGAACAGTATTCCATTTTAGAACAGGGATGGACTTATCAAGCTCAGCTGCAATAAAGTAATTCAACATTATTTACCTTTACAGAGGTATTTCATGATTGATGCAGTTCCTTCCGATGATATATCTAAAAGAAAATGGTGAATAAAACAATAAATAATGTTAAAGTGGTCCTTGTGATCCATAATATGTTTCAGTGAAGCATTTAATTCAGTATCCTCTCGTTACCAGTTACCTTTAGGGGGAAAACTGATCTTGTCTGTATCAAGGATAATTGTCTGCAAATAAATACAAGCAAATATTATTGTCAAGTAGAGATAATATGATATGTTTGATTGCTTAAGATGTCCATCAAAGTTACATGCACAGTGTAAGGAAACCAGTTTAAGTTGTACAATCCAAATGTATGTAAGCAAGTCACTTGAAAGGGTAGAGCATGCCTTACCATGAAAAATTAAAAAAATGGAATTATAAAAGAAAAACAAAACGTGTAACTGCAGCACTTACTACTTTTTAAATAACTCTTATAGGGTTCTCCAAGATGGAGTTATACTGCATGCTCTTAGGAGTTCATATTAACATCCAACTGGTGGTAGAAAACATAGAAGTGCCAAATCTTTAAAGCTCACTGAGATGTAGAAGAAATGAGCAATAAAAAAGCTAACGTGCACAACAGGATTCATATGTAGTGTACATTTAAGCCCTGTTAAATCAGAGAAACCCAAAGATAAATCTAGAAAAGATAAAGAAAGGTTAGTTTGGAAAAGATACTGGTATGTTAGAAAAACGTTTGTGTTTCTTCTCTATATCACAGTAACCTTCTGATGTGAAGTTGTTAGACAGTCCACTGTCTTACCTCTAATGTTCTCACATGTGCCAAGGTGGGAGGGACTCCTGGAAGGTTACTGTTCTCAGAAATATTGAGGGTCCTCAGACTTTTCAAATTTCCAATTTCAGCTGGTAAAGAGCGAAGTTCATTCCCTGTACACAACAATCATAAAATACTGATTTGGTTGCTCTCACAAACTCACTCTAACAGCTCTTATAACAATTAATGGGAAACACTACCATAAATTTAACTCAGCACCAGAAATTTACACCACCAAAATTAATAAATTGTGGTTCCACTATGAAGAATATAATTATGTAACATTGAAAATTTCATTGTACATGTATAAGGAGTAAACCATTATTTTCAAGACATAAATTTCCAGCAAATAAAGGGAAAATGACTCCCTCACCCAGTGGGAAAAATAATTTGTACCAGCAAGGGGACTTTTAGCTTAGCTTGCATAGCTGGCAGGATTGTCAAAGTGCCATTGAGGCATAGGAGTTGCGAAGCCACAGAGAATGGGGACAAGAATCATGCCTTGAAATTTTCTGATGCCTTTGGTGCTCATTCTTGATGAGGTGGCAGCTTCACAGTCAAAACTCTAATGCGTGCAAATAAACAATTCCACCAGCTACGCAGGGTATCTTTAGCTGTAAAAGAGTGAATCCAGTTACTAGAGTCTATCACTTACAGTGTGAGTGGGAACCTAAGGGACCAGTCATAATTTAAGTTGGAGGTGGGGGGGGGCTGGAGGAGAAATTGTTTTTTATCCCAAATTATTTCCAGACCCCTACTAATAGCACCCATGTTTTTTAGGTACCCCCCCCCTCCAATCATGTTAAAAGATTTAAGGGCCCCCCTTTCTTACATAATACCCAAATGGTAATAACAAATAACATTTTCTTTACTTTACCGTTCTTACTCACTGTCACTTCTGAATGTGTCAACTAACAACAGAGAAGCACTTCACACTAAATTGAGAAAGAGATTTCACCTAGAGCCTCTCAAACAGCTTATAGAGCAAGGATATATCAGTGATTGTGTTATAATTGAGATAAGACAAGCCATTGAAAGGTTAGAGACCGACAGGACCGCTTCAAGGAAGAAAGAAGATAATCAGCCAAAGCTTACTGCTTTTTATATGACCAGTACATGCTCTAATAGCAAAAAACTTGACAGTGAGTCCACATCAACCTCATCTACAAATAATGATTCAGATAGTGAGATTGCATAACATGACTTAATGCATGTAATCATTAATTTGTTAAAATGCCGATGAAATTGTTTCAGTGTTACACAATAATGGATGTTGCGTTGATGCACCTACTATTTGAGCATTAAATCTTTTTGTCAAAATGCTGATTAAATTGTTTTAGTATTATACAATATAGGACTTTGTGTAAAACTGAATCAAAATCAGGTCCTTTAATACTCAAGCATCATGCTGCTTAGCAGGGATGCTACTTAAAAGAAACTTGAAAACCCCCCCAAGGTCATCTTTTGGCATTTTAAGGCCCCCCATATTCCATCCAAAAAAAAAAGAAGGCCCCCCAATTTCTCCTCCCCCCCCCCCCCCTCCTCCAACTTAAATTATGACTGGTCCCTAACACGATTTAGAGCATATAATATGTAACTAAGTGTGCTTTCCATTTGTCAGAACTGGCCGTCCAGATCATTGCCCAACCAGTCAGTTTGAAATTGAAATAGGCTTTTTCCAAGAGTTTTTGCTAAAAAATGTTCTCCTTTGTGAATACTGTTTAGAATTTGATTGATCTGGCTGAACAGTTTTGATTAAAACAGAAATTACCATTGCGACGGGAATGGTCTAGCCAGTCAACTCTGACAAATGGAAATTGCCCTAAGTAAAACCCAGATTTTCAAGGCAGTGGTCAGTGTAAGACAAAAGGGAGATGGGATGGAGAACAATGAACACAGGATACTACACATACCTTGAAGGTTTAAGCTTTGAAGGGCTGCTAAATTTCCAATGGACGCAGGTANCCAATATCCCACAAAAAAAAATAATGCTAGTCCCCCTATTTTGCCGCCCCCCCCCCCCCCCCCTCCCCCTCCTCCAACTTAAATTATGACTGGTCCCTAACACGATTTAGAGCATATAATATGTAACTAAGTGTGCTTTCCATTTGTCAGAACTGGCCGTCCAGATCATTGCCCAACCAGTCAGTTTGAAATTGAAATAGGCTTTTTCCAAGAGTTTTTGCTAAAAAATGTTCTCCTTTGTGAATACTATTTAGAATTTGATTGATCTGGCTGAACAGTTTTGATTAAAACAGAAATTACCATTGCGACGGGAATGGTCTAGCCAGTCAACTCTGACAAATGGAAATTGCCCTAAGTAAAACCCAGATTTTCAAGGCAGTGGTCAGTGTAAGACAAAAGGGAGATGGGATGGAGAACAATGAACACAGGATACTACACATACCTTGAAGGTTTAAGCTTTGAAGGGCTGCTAAATTTCCAATGGACGCAGGTAGAGCTCGGAGCTTGTTGTTTTGAACATTTAAAACCTGAAAGATTTAAGAAAATACAAGCATGTGTCAAGATGTCAAATCAAAATAATATTTGCATGGTCATTTATAACGAGTACTTGGTGCAAATACAATGTAAGTTACCATAACAACTGATATGTTTTTCTTTTACAGTTAATGTAGAATTGGAGCTAACAGTGCTTTGAATTAACTTAGTCCTGTAATCCAATGGTTCAATAAAACAGCTGAAATTTTTTGATGCAACCACTGGCTTCCAACATCTGATGTTGTATTACTTTTCAGGCTTGGTTTGTTCTTATGATTGGTTATAATGCTATGAGGGAAAATTTGCTTCCACCAATCAGAAGTAAATACCCAGACCTGGTTAGTGACAAATCATCAGTATGGATATTTCTGTGCTCTTTCCTCAACCTCATTTCATGGGAAAACCAGTGGTGACAGCGCTAAGTGACTGCTGTTTCTTCAGGCTAAATGAAAAGGTATACGTATACCATACAATTTAAGAATGTTCCAATGGTTTATATCTTCTTGTGAGCAACCTGTACCTAACATTACAATCAAAATTTATATAAACTAACAGTTTATTTACCTGCAGTGATTTCAGTTGATCAATATCAGCTGGAAGAGTAGTGAGAAAATTGTCATGAAGATCTAAAACCTACAAAAAAACAAAAAAAAATAGGAAAACCAACCTCTCTTATAATACTTTGATCAAAAAAATCTGAGACAGCTGTCAACCTCTGCTCCCTTAAGAGAAAACACAAAAAAGTGAGACATGGAAATGGTCATGAAAATCTAAACCCTGCAGCACAGGCTGACACAATATACATGTAGAATGCACCCTCTTTATGAGCTTAAAATGTGACTGTAATGAATAAACCTACATTGCACCTGTATGCACAACCCAAACACCCATCAAAAAAAGAAAAAAGTAATATTTTAATTCAAATCTTATGTTAACTAATGTTGGTAACAGTATCCTTTCATTCCACCTGTTAAGAATTAAAATTTTGCAAAATTTTTTCACCCAGTCCAAACTGTAACTCCCTTATAAATAAGCTGAGTTATCCAGCATACATTTTGAGATAAAATTCTCACCAGAGGAATAAATTCTGTGAGATGATTGGACAAAAGGCCTATAGTTAATACTGTTTGATTTTCATTTTATCATTTATCATTACACTACTTTGGAAAATAATTGAAGAATATTAGATATTAGCTGAGCAGTTCAGTGGAAATAATGAAAAAATTTTTACTTTCATATTCTTAGCTTTCAAGAAACTGAGCATAATTTAATTCCTCACCCGTAAACTTGAAAGATCCTTTAGATCTCCTCCACCCTTAAGATTTGTTAAAGCATTATCATACAATAGAAGAGCCTAAAACAAAATATGCCAAGTAAAATTTCATGATACATAAACCAAAAAATTAACAATCAGTGACTTTGATGTACCATCAACAGTATTATAGCATAAATGTTTACCTAGTGGATGCAAGCACAAGTAAGTCAAACATAATTCAAGTTAAATATGACAAGGTTAAGATTCCAGCTCCCAGGAAGAACCTTTTTGGTTATTTAAAAGACATGATGTGATTGAGGAGCTGGACTCAGTACTTCTGAGAAATGATCAGCTAGCTGTCAGAGCAGGACCTGATGCCACTCTGTACAGACACTGTTTTTTTTATTATTTATGAAAGACTTAGTGTGGCCAAAAAGCACAGCCAAAACCTTGTTGGTGGTGGTAGGGGTACTCCCTATAATGTGGCCTGCTTACCACAAACTTCAGGTTAAATCTTTTCTTTTTAAAACTGGTTCAAGCAGTCACACTGTGAGTTAATCACTAAACTGTTAAAACTCTACATTATCAAAGGGTGACCACAATTTAAGAACACAAACCAAAACATTTTACCTCTTTTTGAAGTACTCTGCATAAGGAGTAAACCCCTTTGGGTACCTAAAAGAATAAAGATAAAGTAGTCTCATTACTTTTACTATCATTAAGGGCTTAAAATAACGGCTGGTACCAAACAATATCTGGCCAAGATGACCACTTGTCCAGACAAATTTATATGGTTTGCAGGCCATGGTTGTTCAAACATTGGATAGCGCTATCCCCGGATAAATCACTATCCAACAGGCCCCAGTGGTTTAAAAGCTGGATAGCGCTATCCACCGGATAAATCTCTATTCAAATTAATCTCTAGACAATCCCCTGCAATAAACACTCCTTGTCTAATAGATGCCCCCCATAGACAACAATTTCAAAATACTAGGAAAAAGCAAAACGGAGCAAAATCAATCCATTTATTCAGTTTATTTCCTGATTAATAAGGGTTTGTGCATTGTATCTTGTTCAAGGCTAAGTTCAAAGTAAGGATAGACTAAGGATGACAACAAACTACGACTTAAAAGAACAATATGGGTCGCTAGATGGCCAAGACATATCAATAGATGGACTGGATAATCTGCTATTTTTAAATTCTCTTAATATTTTCAACAAAAGCATATTAGTTTTGCAGAGCTTGTTACAGTTGTGAGAATAAACACCTCTCTCTTTAAAATGCCTCCCATCTACTACACAATCCTTCTTGCACCTTTAAAATTAAAAATTATAATAAATGCCCCAGGAGTCTATTAGATCATTTTAAGTACTGTTCTTTAGACTAAACTTTTAAATTTATCAGCCAACATTCTTCCTGTACTTTTGTAATAAGGTCCTTAGTGCTGAATCTCCCTTGACTGAAGTTTTAACATGAGAAATTATATCATTAGCAATGCAGTAGGCAAAGTCACCTCTGTTGCTCCACATTTGGATACGTCAAAGGCTGGATCTGGAGAATCTCTTGCCTATAACAAAAATAATATTAAAATAATTAATTTATCAATGCAAACTCATCATAATAGATATAACAATACAGCTAGAGAAAGCTCTATTAAGCAGACCCCCAATTAAGCGGACACTCTTAAGTGGACACTAAGCCGGGTCCTGAAATTAATGTCTCATATTTCCCTTTATAACAGACCTCTATTCAGCGGACACCTCTATTAAGCCAACGTGGACACTTAAATAAATTGTATTTGGCTAATTTGTATTGTTAAAAAACCTCTATTAAGCAGACACCGGACTGAATTGGCAATAGTAATATTGGATTCTATCGTTCAAATACGTACCGTAGTCAATTAATAAAGATAAGTCAATACATTTAGCCATCAATAAACCATAGATCAGACCGATATCCAGCCGTATTATTGTAATCTGTGATCAAAGTTCACCTTAAAGTCTTGCACAAAGTACAGTACAGCTTCCCTAACAACATGGAACGTTATCACAGTACGGAGTAACCGTTGAATGTTAATCATTAACAAACATTGCACAATTTTTACAAACCTCTATTAAGCAGACACCCTCTGTTAAACAGACACTTGGGAAGGTCCCGAAAGTGTCCACATAATAGAGGTTTCACTGTAATAACAATAATTTTATAAGAATAACAGCCTAGGAATTAAGAGCACTAACCCTTAGGCTGCAAAAAAGATTCTAGATTTTACCTATAGGTCTACAGTTCCAAAAACATTTTTCCAAGGAGAAATGGAGCCATAAGTAAAGTACAATATGTTACAGGTCAAAATTAAATTCAGGTTAAAATTATAATTTAACCAAGGTTGATTCTATACTTTTTTTGTCTCCTAGCCCTAATTATTCATGAATTAGGACTAGGAGACAAAGGAAATTGAGAAACAACCTAGAGTAAATTAATTTTAACCAGTAACAAAATCACAAAATAGCATTTTGCGGTGTATATGTTGTTTGACTGAGAACTTTGTTATATGACTTTTGCTAGCTCCAACGACTGACAGTTACGTTATGCAATTTTTTCCATACCATAAAAAGTGCGAGAGAGTCTGGATAGCATTTCTAATTCAGTTCTCTTTTGATGGACTTTGATGTGCACCTGCACTCCCTTTTATGTATACTACTATCCTTTTAATGCTAAATATGCAAACTTAATGCACACAAATGATGGTAGAGCTTGGTAAAGGACTGGCAAAACTACACCAAAATACATTGATGGTACAATGCAGTGCTCAAAGCATCCTTTTTATAGAAGTAATGTGGGCAGATTTGAATCTTGGTGCTAACAAAAAATGCCGTTAAATATTGTTGGTCTGTGTCCACAAATGTGTACCATAAAAGCAAAATACTGATACAGAGTACGGGTCAACAGGAAAAAAAACTAAAATTTGAAAAAAGTTGCTTAAAAATGCTGACTGAGCAGCAGCAAACTAGTTGGCAATTTTAAAGAACGAGCCCCAAGTTGACGTCTGAATAAGCAGGAAAAAAATTCTCATTGATCAGAGAAGGTTCACCAACCAGCCTGCCCATTCATCAGAAAATGATGAATGCCACGAGAACCTGAGATTGACCAACACTGATAACTTCCTTGTAGTCTAAATACCTTGACAAAGGGAACATCACTGAATATTACAAGGAAGAAAAATGTAGATGACGCTGATCTTAAAAGGACAATTAAAACTAAAACAAAAAAATAAACAATCCACTTCCAAACCTTTATATTCAAGATATATTGAGGGCATAGATTGTCTTCACTGTCTCAATTTTGGGGTCAACTGGAATGATTGAGATGATCCAAAACAATTTTATTATTACATGCGTACAGAAAACACCTGTATGTATAGTCTCCTCCATTCTATCCAGGCAATCAGGAATGTCCTAATCATCTTAAATTATATCAGATGTTTTCATGTAATATATCAAACATGAGATGCAGTGTTTCATCACCAGATGAAACACCGAGAAGAGAGTTGAAAATACGACGCGCAGCGGAGTATTTTTGACGAACTTCGAGGTGTTTCATCTGGTGATGAAACACTGTGTCGAATGTTTGATATTTCTTCTCAAACAAAATCATTTTTGAAGGAGAAATTAAGGATGCAAATACTAAGCAGTGTTTCATTCGATTTCCAAACACTCATTAAACATTAATTTCCTTTGTATTTTCTTAATGAATTATTAATGAGTTTGAGAAATGATCATCTTTATTGCCTGAACACATTAAGGTGGCTGAACACAGTTTTGGCAGTTTGTGAGTATATGTCATTTGTCAAATCATGGCAAGAGAATGGTTACAGCTCACAAGCTGAAACTTGGCAAATGAAAAATATACTGATGAAAGATTTTGATCGACAGGTAAAATGTGACGTTTTCATTGTTTCCATGGCAACGTGAACGATTGAATACAACCTTAAAATTTCACTTTTACTCAATTTACATAAAATTCGCTCATTAGATTTTCCTATAAACTTGCGCACAGCTTACTATAATTAATCATTACCATTTGAAACTTATTTGACCAAATTTTAACAGACGGGTTTTCAGATAATCAATAATATGATTCTATTGTAATTATTAAATGTATCACAAAATTTGTCTGTTCAACTTTCATTTTAAAGTTCTCATTATTTAGAATACGATAAAAGTCAAAATTCTGCCAAATATCACAAAATTTTGATGAGTGGATTTTGAGAAATCGTCTTCTGTGTACCATTGCTTTTTTCGCCGCCATGTTTGTTTGTCTAATTTAAAACACTTGCCGTCACGCGAGTTACCGCTGACTGCCCGCAAAACTGTGTTCAGCCACCTTAAGATGTCTAAGATGGCTCAGGGCGATCAAGAGGATCTAGTTTAGTTACATGGAAACCAGATTGAAGGAGATACAGTTCAAAAAATTGGTTGCAGCTGCTGTTTAGCAACTCAGTGTTTAACTGACCATGAGCCGTGATTATGTTGTGTTCAGTGGAATTCACCAAGTTGAAGTTAACAGGAAAAAAAGAACATACAGGCTATATAAAATGTTGTTCAATAATTGCAAGTTCTACCTTGTTGAACAAAGGAAAACAATAAATTAAACTTAGTTTGACATTTGTTGACCAATAATGCAAAGTTAGAATGATTAACAGGCAATGTCTTTTAAGCATTTGAAACAGGGCGATTGAAACAGTTAAAAACTGTCTGACAATGAAGTGAAGTAAGCGATGCATACTTTCTAACGACATTCTTTGATTTTGTGGGGGGTAGCTGTACATGTCATGGGCTTTAATCTTTACTCTTGCGTAAAAAGTGTTTCACTCTTAACTTACTTTACCTGTTTAGCTACAGAAGCTGAAATGGTAACCTACCTAATTTTAACAAATTGTAAGTCATACGTCAAATTCAAAGGTACCTCTGAATCTCGATTATTACGATAACCGAAAGAAAAAATATCAGTAAAGATTCGATAGTAAACACTCTGTATTATCACGTATTTACAAACGTAACCTATAATTTAGCTGCTTAGTCTATTTACTTTTGAAATATCACAAGCCTTCTGCAAATTTCTTAAGTTTAAGTGTCAGAGTAGGGTTCTGTGAGCTTCATCAAAGCAAAAAATGTTTTACAGTAATGATCAAAACAAGCTGACAGGCAAACATGAACACCTGAAGAGGAAATTATGGAGCCGAGGTAATAATGCTGAATAATGACTTTGTAGTACCTGACTTCGCGATAAAAACGTTGATCTTAAAAATGAATGTACTGCTTACCACGACAAGACATCGTTCTACACGTTTCTTTGCTTCATCTTTGCCAACTTTCCTTTGCTTAAATAACGGCATCGCACTGCGCTGAGATGAAGATGGAATTGAGCCCATCTATTTTCAGATATATTTAGGCGCGAGAGACTGGTACGGAATTTTGGCTTGGAACCGAGGCTTAGTAACCTGAGATCAGGCCCAATTTTAGCTTAGCGTCGCGCTCAAAACTGCGAAAAAACAGTTGTGAAAATTTAGGGAAATTAAGAAAGAATGGAAGAAATATTCTTATCTACAGAGCAAAAACAAACAAAAAACTGTTTTATTTGAATTTAATTGCATGGGAAGCTATGAGATTAAATTTGTCTGATTTTAAACAAAAATTCGACGTTTGCTCGACTTTATATTTTTCATGCAGTTTACGCAACAGGACAGCAGGAAGAAGAGGACGGCAAATCGCTTGTACGTGACGAACGTGAAAATGCTATTACTTGCGTGTTTTGTCGTGATCTTCAATAACATCAATGTTTTTTGGTCTTTTACAAAAAGATCTGTTTAAAAGAAAGTGAAGTTTGACGAAAAGTTTTTTCAAGCAAAATTTTTGTCACGCTTGTCACACAAGGTTTTCCGTCTTCTTTCCTCTCAATTCAAACAAGGCCTACGATAGGGTGATGCTCGATTTACCGAGTTAATATATGGTCTATATGCACTATGTTGCAGTTAATTATATTATTGTGTTACTTGCTTTTCACTTTCCATACAGTAAAACGCCGTGAAGAAGAACCTAGACGCGAATTCGACTACAACCCCGAAATGATCCCCAATCCAGGTATGGGGATCATTTCGGAGGCTGTACAGATTTTTCCTAGGAGGCGGTCAACCACTAAGGAATGACGTAACTGACTGGTGACGTAAACAAATTAGTCCAGTTGTATTAGAAAGCTGCAGGTCATCTCGGGGGTTGGGGGGGGGGGGGGGCCCCCACCCCCCCCCCCCCCCCCTAGACCCCCCCTGCTGCCAATGGCCTTACTTCCAAAATATCCATCCAGGAATTCTTTATTTTTTTTTCAAAGGGCAAAATGCCTTCTATTTCCACCCCCTCCCAAAAAAAAAAAAAAAAATAATTTAAAAAAAAAAAAAAAAAAAAAAAGAAAAAAAAAAAGAATA